TCTAACCTTGTTCTAAACGCTAACCTTAACATTAATGAACTTTAAAAAATTTTGCTGCGCCACATGATCGACAAAACTTGGCACAGATTTTTTGTTTGCCACATGGTGTACAAATAGCAATCGTCATATTTATAATATAATTATTGATTTTATCACCGAGTATGCCTATTTAATTTTCTGATTCGAAAATTTTAAAATAGAAAATATTAGGTATCGTCTTAAATTTACTATTAAGAAGAAAAATAAAAATTTTCTAATTCTGAAACTCCCCACTTTATCTTTTCACATAAAAAGCAAAATGCTGTTTAGGGAGTATAAATTAGGCCGTTTGAAATTTCAATGTCGTTTAACGTTCTCCACACCGCTTCCAAGAGCTCCCCCTGAAATTAAACAAGTCAACCAAAACGTCTTTGAGATGTAAATCAATCACATGACTGTGCCCAATCAATAATAATGGAAATTTTTTTGAGGTGTCATATAATGTTTGATTTGACCCCCTCTCACTGTGCTTAAGCTTCGAGAGGAACGTTAACCGAAATTATAGCTTCAAGCGGCCTTAATATAAACAGTTAATATAATAAAACATTATTAAAAATGAATTCATATACATATTGAACGACGAGTTGGACTAATCCCAATCGCGGTACATAGTTGACCAATAAGATTACAAAAAAACTGACATACGAATTAAAATTTTTATAATTTATTTAAACTAGAACTTTGTATCAAATAAAAAAAAATTATGATCATTAAAAATAATAAATATTAAATAAAATGTTATATTCAGAAATCCTGTCTGAAATCATGACAGCTTATTATTTACAATCATTACGCGAAGGGATAATACAGTAATATTTCTTTAATTGACAATTGTTGTGTTAGGGAATTTTTTTCATTTAGGATTGTTGAACCTTTAACCATATTTTGCCCTCATTGTTATTAAGTTCGTTTTCAATTGTTTCAAGTTTCGTTTTAATCCTGTTTATTTTTTTTTCAACTTCAACTTTCTCAGCATTATTATCATCAATTACTGAAGTAATTTCTGAAACTGCAGGAATTATAAACCATTGTGCATTTACAGGATTTATTATTATTTTGCAGTTGTCCTCTTTTTTTACATCGGCTTCCTCTTTTTTTACATCGGTTTCCTCTTTTTTTACGTCAGCTTCCTCTTTTTTTACTTTAGGTATTTTTTTTCCTGACCGATGTGAATAAGTGAGATATTGAAAAATTCCTGTTTCAAGAATATTCGCGTAAACTATTGCATGTTTTAAAAAAAGTTCCTTGGCTATAAATTTTGTTCCTGGAATGTATTCGTCATCTATGCCATCTACATAATTTCCAAGAATATTATTCGCTATATATTGTTTATCTGATGGTGTCATTAGTTTGTCTTTGATAATTTCCACAAGTTCTTCGTCAACCTTAATAGACAGTTGTTTACTATTATTATCACCTATATTCTTGTCACAATATTCTATAAGTTTATGATAAATGGTTTCAAATAATTTACGCCGTTGGTTTGGTGTCTTCAAAAAAATTTTCTTAACATTTTGAATAAATTTTATTTCATCCTTTTTATCACTATCAATTCTTAGATAAAGCCTTTGCTGACCTAATAGTCTAGCTGCTTTTTCTTCAGAACCAATTCGTATAAAAACAAATTTATATGCCTCTACACTATCATCTTTAACAAGATCATCTTTTTCAATTTGAATTCCATATCTCATAATTTCTCTAACCTCAATATCTTTATCATGAGAAAAAAAGGATGAAATAGAGCGAGTTAAAACAGTAGTAAGAACAAAGAAATAAATAGAATCAAAAGTATTAGGGGTGCAATAAGTGGCAAATTCAAAAAAGCATTCTATTATAGACATGAAAATGGCAAAAAAGAATATTTTTTTGCGAATAAAGCTATAACTGCTTATTTCGAATAGTCGAAATAAAAATTTGGGACGAAAACGAACTTAATAACAATGAGGGCAAAATATGGTTAAAGGTTCAACAATCCTAAATGAAAAAAATT